AGGGTTCTCTAGTTCCCATGCCCACCCCCTCCCTCCAATTCACGCGCAGACAGACACACGCGCGCATTGTCCTTCCTCCAGCCCATCTCCAAAATCATCTCCATGTTGAGGGGCAGAGAACCCCCAGGGCACCTCTATAGCACTTTTGGGGTCCAGACTCCCCCACAATCTCCTCCTCTCCATGCAAGTGTTAAATGAATTAAATGTACAGTGTATCAAGAGGGGAATGCAACTCAAGGACACTAGCCAATGATTGCAGAATCAGTAAAGAATTGCTTAGGTTCAGAGTGTTCTAATAACATCTCTTATTAACATTAAATTGTGTTTTCATTTGAGTGACATTTGAATGACAGGGTTGAAATTATCATTTTGATAAGTGTTGGAAATTCTAAGCTCAGAATTTCCCTGCTTTTTGTGCTTGTGCTTAAGGTCAAACAGCACTGTTTGGTCAGCAGAATCTGCCTTTACAAAATAGCTTGCATTTGGGAGGAGAACTCAGCACCATTGTTCATTGTAAAATTGGCGTCTCCATCTCTGTCTGTTGTATGCCCAAGTGTCAGGGCTATGAAATAACTCCTGAAAAGAAACTTGAGTTTATTCAGTCTGGGGCAAAAGCCGGGGGAGCCAAGGCAAGGATTCCACTTGGTTGAACAGACAAATGGTGACATCATTATTTTAATGTTATTTTGTTCAGAAAAGCCCTTAGACAAGATTTTTCAATAATTAGAAAGTCAAGTTTCATTTCTAGGCTAGATTGGTGCCTGGCCCTGTGCACTGCACAGTGTGGGGTTGGGGGCAGAGGATGCCAAATCCTTACTCCACCTTGCTCACCTGCACAGCAACTCTGCTAGTCTGTGCTCGCAATCACAGCCCATACACAACCTGAGCAGGACGACTGCTCCAGGCGATAGCTGACTGGCGTCCCCAAATGGGGAAGGGCAATCACAAATACTGTGGGCACTCTGCATTAGTACTGGCCAGCAGAGCTAGTAGGGCTAGAGGGAATACACATGGTACTCTTTCACAGGGGCTAGTTTTGGTCTCCCCTTCTGTGGTGCTCCGGGTAGCGTTGTGCTTGAGTTAGGGCTCGTGGGGCTTGGGCTGCGGGGCTCTAAAACTTCAGTGTAGACTTTCAGGCTCGGGTTAGAGCCTGGTTTCTGGGTCCCTGTGAGGGGGGGATGGTTCCAGACCTTGGGTTCCAACTCAAGCCCAGGCCAGCCATGGGTGTTTAACTGCAGTGTAGACATACCCTGTGAGTTCCTGCTGGGACAATGCATCTCTGCCCCTTCACCCATAAGCCTGGCTGTTGAGCCACATTTTAGCTCCATATGTTTCTTGTTTACAGCTGCATATTCAACAGTATCTCGGAGGACAGGTAATGGAACAGGGTTCCTCTTACTTCCACATCACCAATTTGAATCTGACACAGTCACTGTGGATCAAAAGCCAGGGTTTTTTTGACAGCTAGTGGATGGACTGTATAAAATGAGTTGGTCTCAACCCAGTCCTGGAGGACAGCCCATTTAATAAAATCCACCATCACAGCTGACACTCTGACTGGTAGAGCCATCAGAAAGCAAGAACTGAAAGGACATGGGGACCCAAAGCTGAGTAACAATCGTTCCTTCAGTGTCGTGGTTGAGGAACATTGGTTAGGTGTTGTGAGCAAAGATAGTTTTGTGGTTAAAGACCCTGGGACTCAGGCCATCTGGGTTCTATTCCTGGATCTACCAAAGATTTCTTGGGGGATCTTGGGCAAGCCATGTGAGCTCTCTCTGCCTCAGTTCCCCATCTGTAAAACTGAGAATAATGATACTTATCAGGGGGTTGTGGGATAAATCCAGTCATAGTTGTGAGGTACTCAGAAACTACAGTAATAAGTGCCATTAAAAAAACCCCTATCAGTAAATAATCCTTGCACTGTAACAGCTCCTGCTGTATCGGGTCTGTGCTTTCTGTGAGGTGCTTAACATCCACTCCCAATGAAAAAATAGTCTTCTGCCTCTAGGAGTGTTATTCTGGCATTTTTCATAAGTGCTAATTTCATGAAATGTCCCCCCCCCAAATAATATCCATAAAAATTATTTCCATTTGACTTTGAAGCTATTAGAAGCCAGTACAGTATGATCTAATATGTTGAGGGACTTTAGTAGCTGTTAATGCAAGGCAATTAATTTAATGTTAATACAGCAGCATAGCAATCTTCAGTTAATATCCTGACAAAAATCATAGGCATTTTCTCGTAGACATTATACTGTACCGCTTTAGTTGGCTGGCTTATGTTTGTCAGTGGAAGTGCGAGCAGCAATAAAAAAAATCCTGTTTTTCTTTATTTGTTGTTGAGTTTATAATGTTTAGACAAGCTGTTTTCTGAACTTTAGGCAAGTGATCAGGTAAGAATAACCTGATTTTCTAAAATCAATAAAAGAAAAGTGCATTCTAGTCATTTGCTCCTCTATGATTCAAATGTTCCCGCTTCAGAATAAACAGATCTGCAAAATAAAGGTCATTTTGCTCAGATGTCACATCTGAGAACTACTTGAGGGAAAATAAATGCAAGTATCAGGTTTTTATCAGATCTTTCTGATAATAATAGCCTGATCACTAGGGACAGTCTGTTAGTGTTGGCCCAGTGGGTCAGATAACAATGCAGACTTTCTCTCTCTTCCCTGTGCTGTGACCTAGTCCATCTGCTTCTCTCTGGCCATATGGTATAGAAGTATCTGAGACGGGAGACATTACAGTTTGATGCATCTGAATGTTCTTTGGTTTTACTGAAACTTCACAGAGATGACATTCCTTTGAATGCTTTTTTGAAAGTAGGTTTTTTTTTTGCATTTTAAACTAAGTTTACATCAACAGGGTATCTCACAGTGAATTACGGACCATAAGGAGGCTGGCCGTATAGTACCTGCCTATCTTTGAATGGCATGAAATATCATTTTATATTAATGCATGTCTTGAGAAAGAAAACAGATATCATCACACTGAGGATTTTAAAATAGTGTTAGCCTGCTAGTAACCCTATATACATTATATGTGATCCGTCTAATCTGAATACCGTCATTATGCGCTACAAAATGAAGGAAATGTATCATCTGGAGGACACAGAACTGTGAGCTTAATGTTCTCCCCCTTCCCCCCGACCATTTGAACTGCTGGGGTGGTGCAAAGGAAGCTAGAAAGCCTGTGGATCGCCCCAGCTGAGGATTCCCCTGGTATGGGTGAGTCCCAAGGCAGTGTAGCCAGCTCCTATGCCCTCCATTGCATGGAGGGGATATGGCCAGAGTTTGCTCCATTCTGGCCATTCCAAGCTGGTGAACAGTTCCTTGGGGGCCACTGCCAGACTGCATAGCTTAAGCAGTGCCCGGACTTCCCTATTTAATCACACCAAACATTCTTTTCCTATGTGGAGCACACAAGTATATTCTTCACTCAGCGCACATTCAGAACTCCAATTTGTCTTAAGAGAGTTCAGTCTAGGTAGGGTGACCAGACAGCAAATGTGAAAAAATTGGGATGGGGGTGGGGGGTAATAGGAGCCTATATAAGAAAAAGACCCAAAAATCGGGACTGTCCCTATAAAATCGGGACATCTGGTCACCCTAAGCCTAGGCATCAATACATAGTGAATATACAATACTTCTCTTCAATTATCTTTTTACTAGAGGAACGGGTAATTATTAGAGAGGCTTTAACATAACTCATCATTTCCTATATGTTCATACAGTGTCCAGCATTGTCGGGCTCCTATCTTGATGGGGCACCCTAGGCTAGGCACTACAGAAATAAAAATGTTAACTAATATTAATCAGTTCATAATGG